TAAATCATTTTGCTCAACTTTTTTCAGGGTTTTTTGGAGTTTTTACTTTTAGTTTTTATTATATGCTTTTAGACATTCTTATTTCATGCTTTGTTACAGTTTCAAATAAAGCATTCTACCTAAAATTATAAAGCCTCTATCTTAAACAACATCATTTTACTTGATTTCTTTTATTGGAATGATGACTGGGATAAGGGTAATTTGCATTTTAATTACAGAACAAGTTTTATTTTGACTTTTTAATTCTTTAACCTCTTCTACTGTCTTTCAAAAGAAACATTTTAGTGATTATAGTTGCACTTATAGTCTAGTTAGAATCAAATTATTACAAATTATTCTATTTGAGATCTAAAAGTAGCAAAAATACATTAAAATGAATTGGAAAAACAAAAACATTTATGAAGACAGTTCAATTAAACCAATAATTGAGAAAATTGATCAGTTATTATTAATGGGCTATAGATAATAGAAACGATTATATCCTTTTAATGATGAGAGATTTCTTACTTTATTTTTTCAAATAGATTTTTGATGTAGGGTTAACTGATTAAAGTTTTAGTCCCTTCTATTGATGAACCCAAGGAGGGGTCGCTATGAGTCAGGTCTGACTTGACGGAACATAACAACCACATCAATGAACAGTCTGTCAGACACCACCACTCATCTGTCAATTTGTTGTACTGTGGTGGCTTGCATATTGCTGTAATGCTGGAGGCTATATCACTGGTATTTCACATACCAGCAGGGTCGCCCATGGTGGACAGGTTTCAGCAGAGCCTCCAGATTAAGACAAACTAGGAAGAAGTATGTGGTGGTCTACTTCTGAAAAAATTGGCCATTGAAAACCTTATAAATAGCAATGGAACACTGTATGATATAGCACTGGAAGGTGAACTCCTCAGTTGAAAGGCACTCAAAATATGACTGGGGAAGAGTTGCTTCTTCAAAATAGAGTCAAGCTTAATGACATGGATGGAGTAAGTTTTTTAGGATCGTCATTTGCTGATGTGGCATGACTCAAAATAAGAGGAAACAGCTACCTGTGAAATATCCACTAATAATTGGAACAAGGGATGTATGATATATGAATCTAGGAAAACTGGAGGTGGTCAAAAATTAAATGGACTGCATAAAGTTCAATATCTGAGGCAGTGGTGAGCTGAAATGGACTGGTGTTGGCCATTTTGAGTCAGAAATCATATGGTCTTCTATGGTGGGAATGACAAATTGAAGAGGAATGGTATCACATTCATCATTAAGAGAACATTTCAAGATTTGTCCTGAAGTACAATGCTGTCAGTGATAGGATAATATCCATATGTATACAAAGAAGACCAATTAATATGATTATTATTCAAATCTACACACCAACTACAAAAACCAAAGATGAAGAAATTGAAGATTTTTACCCACTTCTGCAGCCTGAAATTGATCAATCATTAATCAAGATGCATTGATAATTACTGGTGATTTCAACGCAAACGTTGGAAACAAAGAAGAAGGATCAGTAGTTGGAAAAGATATGTTTGGTGATACAATGACACTGGAGATCTCATGAGAGAATTTGGAAGATCAATGGCTTATTTATTGCAAATACCTTTTTTCAGCAACAATAAACAACAACCATATACATGGACCTCACCAGATGGAATACACAGGAATCAAATCAACTACATCTGTGGAAAGAGATGATGGAGACATTCAATATCATCAGTTAGAACAAGGCCAGGGGCCTACTGTAGGACACACCCTCAATTACTCATATGCAAGTTCAAATTGAAGCTGAAGAAAATTAAAACAAGTCAACAAGAGCAAAATATGACCTGAAATATATCACACCTGGATTTAGAGAACATCTCAAAAATACGATTGATGCATTAAACACCCATGGCTGAAGGTTGGTGTATTTCAAACTCAACCTGAGGAGCCTCAGAAGAAAGGGCTGGTGATCTGCTTCAGAAAGGTCAAAGCCTTGAAAATGCTATGGATCATAGTTGGACTCTCTAACCCAGAGGGTTGGTTATTAGTTGGAATTGACTCAACAGGAACCAGTTTTTATTGGTGAATAGTATTACACCTAATTCTCTATGCTGGTGGGGGTATCTTGCGGTTGGTTAAAATGTCTTCCAAAGGGCATCTGTCAAGGAGAGGGATGTCATTGTTTCTTCCTCCCTTATTCTGACTCCATAAAAGGCAAAGGTAGCTGGTGGAAATTGGTCATGTTTTCTACAAACAATTAGTGTATCACCTTTGGGGGAATAAACTGTGCTTAATAGATTAAATAATTGGACTTTCAATTTAATAATATCACTATAAAATATTATAATATACTTTATATATAAAGATACAGTAATATCAGGATAGAAATTGGAAATGTTTATGCTTTAGGACTAAGTATTTTGGTCTTCTGCTTCAGGAAAATAAGATTTTCTTCTTTTCTATTTCCTTATCTTAGGAAAGTGTGGCTGCAGAGAAGAAGAAGCAGACTGTTGCAGAGCAAGTGATGATAGACCACTTATCTAGGTAAGAGTTAGTAAGTGGTTGTAGAAATCTATACAAAAAGTTTTCATTAAATCTATTTTTCACACATGGCACTCATATCATTGTCAGTCAATAAGTGGCTAATTCAGAGTTTCCAGTATATTCCATTCATTGCACCCTTAGTGTTTTAGAGTTGTTTTTTTTCCCCACAGAATTCCTAGGCTAGTAGAAATACCTAAGAGATCTATTTGTTAAGTACTTAGGTCTAAACAAGTTAATAGGTGTTTATTTCCTAGCAACTTAATGGCTGCTTGAAAAAATAATTCACATAAATTGAATTTTAAAAAAAAATTGTTCTTAATTAAGCAAAATTACTTAATAATGGGATATGTTCACCTTTTGAGCACTGCACTTTCTCTTAAATTGTGGAAGTATTAGGATACTATTACTCTCACTTCCTTTTCCATACTGATTTTACATGACACTAGCTTCTTATCATAGCAACTGCAGAAAACCTAGCTTTGAAAATATATGACCTTACTTAAGGAGTATAGCATGATCTCTCTTTTTTTTTTTTATTAATTAATTAATTAATTTATTTTTATTTGGGTGAAGATTTACAGAGCAAATTCACTTTTCATACAGCAGTTCTCATATACTTTGTCTCATGTCATTGACCACAGTTTACCACAATGCAACAGCT